GCCTGTGCGTTTTTAGTTTGTTTAGCTGTATTTTAGTTGAATTAACTGCAACAAAAACAAGATGTGGGATTTTCATAAGCGGCGGTTATTACCAGTGGACTGCCCTTCCGTTCTTTGTAGCAGAACTCAACGTCACGTCGGGCGTTTACTCGCCCCGGTCATTTGGGCCCAGTTTGTTTTCACAAGGCGTAGACTCTCGGTGAATGTTTTCGGTGTTTATCTGCACTCGGCAGACTGTATCGGTCTGGCATCCTCAGAGCCAAGTTCCATCACTCCGAGGGAGGGTGGACCCATCGCTCTACTGACCCCCCCTCACCCCATGATGGATGAGATTCTCGCTTCGCTTGATAAATGAGGACACTTTACACCATCCCCGGTGCTTAAAGTATTCCTTTTCATCATGCCTTCATAGAAGCGTGGTGTATCGTGACCCGAAAATTGCGCGCGATCAATCTGCAGTAACCCTGCCCAAGGCCCGCTGTCATGCCTCAGAAGACAAAAAAAGCAGAGTTGCTCAGGGTTATCAAGATGCTTCTGCATGTCAGCCAACAGACCCGCAGTTTTGAGGGTAATTTCGTTGGCGAACATTGGAACCGCAACCGAAAGAAAAACACTAAAATGTGGGTTACAAATTCGCTTTATCAACATTACCCCCCAACTTTGTTTACCTGCTGTTCAGCACTTATTAGAAATTAAAACACTCGGCAAACACCTTCCCTTCAAATGTATTGTTTCACTGACATATTTTTTAGAAGTGACGTATGTATGATGTAGGAAGGGAAAGATCAACAAACGGGCGAAGGTTTACTGATGTTCCAAATTTCCGACAAAGGCCTACTGTTACACTCAGTAATGGGATGAGGAACGCTGATATGCTTTTTAAAATGATGCCCACTGACACGAGTTTAGTACTTCTCAGGGCAATTTCAGCCCCCCCCCCAAAAAAAGACTGTGGACTAGCGTCCATGTAAAGCCAGCTTTGTTTTTTAAATCTATAAGATTGAAATTGTTTGTTTTACTCTTAACGAAGATTGAACGGTTTCAACGGCTAAATTTCTTTAACCGTTCCAGTGAATAAGAAACAATTCAGTCAGTCTTACCAAACTGTCATTCGCAAATTACAGGATGAATCTAATATAAACTTTTTGTATTTTTTGAAAACGACAATGCGAAATAGCACCAAATAGACAACGTAATTTAGGACAGAACACTTTTAGTCAAGCCCTTTAATTTGTCTCAAAAGTAATCGTGATAGTGCGTACATTTCAGCATTGTTTGCTCTCAGCGTTTGATCTAATCCGTCTCACGTACAGATCCAGTGCATTCGAAACCTCTACAAACACCGCACCTAGGCCTAATTGCATTAAACTGGACGTGCTGTTAATCATACAGTCTCACCGTATTAAATGCTATTGTTTTTTCTTGAAAAAGAACTCGAACCTCGCAGTTCGAAAGGGTTCAGATTTAAAGTATAAATAGAAAAAAAGGCTCGGAAAATTGGAGTATACGAAATGAAATGAACCGAGACAATTCGACAGAAATAGGTTGGAATGTACTGTTTTCGAAATTGATTAGCCAAACAATGTGTGGTGGTAGGGATCCCGATAGGTTTTGTTTATATTATAATTTTTGGCTAGCTTAAAAGAATAAATATCAGCAGAATGGAAGAGACTTGATTGTTATAAACCTGATTATTTTTGCGGGTTGAAACATCAACCCTTAGCTTTAGAACTAGTCACTCATTACACGTATAATATTTTTTATTTGAAAATACGTGAAGATATTTACCTTTTTACAGGGGATGAATTTGCTTTTTTCCCCATTTAACCATGGTGTTGATGGGATCGTATGATTCCACGCCTTCTGCTGGTCCTACATGCAGCCTTTTTTCACAAAGACTCGCGATTGCTCAATTAATATGCATTTAATTTACCGAATATCGCATTGCATGTCTGAATCGCCGGGGAGTTTACAGTACCAAATTACACACTCGGGGCAACAACATGGCCGCTTCAGATGGCTTTGCTCTCAGTACCTTTTCATCCTTCACTGCTCCTCATCAAAAATGAATGTACGTTGCGTATGACTGACCACAGGCAAGGGGACAGCACGGTATCACCCAACACCTACAATGCACGGTAAGTAGATGCCGTTTTGTAATTACGGCGATAAATTATATTTTTTTGAGCCAATTTAATTCCACCTTCGCTTATCTTAGTGCTCTCCTATCGATCATTGTTTATAATTGTTGAGGGGTTTTTAATTGGGCTGTACGCTTCACTTTCTCTCCAGAGTGGCGTACCGTAAACTCATTTAATAAATTCATTCATCAAAACTAATTTAACACGATCAGTGACATGCTTCTTTTTGTGCCCTCTGCTTCAGCAAGAAAACAGTCGTTGCATTATGATGTCACTGAAAGTTGATGCAACTCTTTAGTTATAAACTTGAACAGACTAAATAACTTCACGAGTTACGGTACAAGACTTGTAATTTATCCATAACTTTTAGGTACCGTGATATACATGATTTTTTTTTATCCCCAGCAGTCCTCATTCCTTCACCTGTTGGAGGATTGGGAGACTATTATTTTTTATTCAGCTGGATAAAGTCAGCAGTTAAACTTGGCAATACCAATTCAACATTTGGCTGTGTGTATGTTTATGAGTTATGCATTCATTTTCAGATAGTCTCGCATCTTTTCCCATTTAGTAATAGCTAAAAATGCAGAACTTCAAGTGGCTTGTGAAAATACAAAAAAAAATAGTGCTGGTGGTGAATCCCCAAGTGGTTAAAGAGAACGCATTGTTCTCTGACCCTGTCAACTTTTTACATAAACAGTTCATTTATAAGTCATCTATTTTCTCATACATTTGTATTGATACCCGTACAAAATTCCACTTGATCTACTAAAGGAAAACGAGCACCCGGTCAGTGGTAGAACGCGAGCCTTTTACAGTTTTACTTTGAACCCTCTCTCTTTGTAGAACATAGAGGGCGAAGTATATCGAGCATTTGTCAACTCGTGGCACTTTGTTTCTGGATTACTGGCCGAAAAAGGTCTGCAGGACTGTTGTCATGAATTTCGACACCTGTTAAACTCCTTGCCTAGTGGTACAGACCTCCAACATCCCACGTCCCTGTGAGGTGGCAATGTTTTTTGTAGTGTCTTGCGTGAAGCCGCCGCCAGTGATTGGTATTTTGTGCCCCCAATATCCTGTTTGCAGTATCGTACTTACCTTGGTCCAGTTTGCAAGAGTCTCCTGTTTTCACGTTTTTAGAGGGACAAAGTAAAGGGTGGTTCATCTACTTGGCGTAAAAGCCAACGTGAACACGAATTTGTGACATCTGATCAAATATTGGCACTGCGGACGTGTAAAAGTTCTACACGTTTCAACTTGAGCGATTTTTTTGCCACAAATTCTTCTTGGCGTGAATTTCTCTTAGCTTGCGCATTCCCTGAAGTACGAGTCGGCCTTAAAAGTGCTGGTAGTCATCCTTCCAATTCGGGGCGCGCAGGTGTAAGAGAGGTATGACGTTGTTGCTCTTACTACGACGTGCCATGAAAGTGACACTTAAGAAGCCTTCTGCCAAAAAAAATGCACGGTTTTGTACTTTGTAATTTTTAAATGACTACCAATTTTCGTTGTCTTAGCACTTGCCCTTTAATAAAGGTTTACCATTTGTTGCGATCACACCATCTATAGAACGTATTTATGTAGTGTGTAAACAACGTTTTATAGGTAGCTTCCCTTTTAGATGTGCGTTGTCAACAGCACGAGCAGGATGGAGGTGTGTCTTTGTTTTCCTGAATTTATAAAGATGAACCGTTCTTTTATCTGGTAGGGTTATCATTGTTTTTTATTTTAACGTTGGCCTAGCTGTGATTGGTTATTTGAGGGTCACCGTGTCTGGTATAATTACTTTTCTTTTATCGTAAGTAGGGTTAGAGGCGTCTGTCCCCGGGAAAGATCGAGACATCACCGATGCCAGCGGGGTTAGGTTCTCCCTGTTGGCGGGACAGACGTATCCCATAACTGCGGTTTGGGTACTAGCGCGGTGACATTCATTTATCCTTGTTCATTTATCCATCTCCCTTCATTTCTTAAATCAATTATTTTTTTGCGTTAACTTGTACTGCGCCGTTGAGCACAGTATGTAAAAAGGGCATAAAGATTAGTGTAACGGTTGAGGAATATTTCAAGTAATGTCGTCATCAAATCGGATGTTAAAAAGGGGAGATCATTTTACATAAGGTACGTTTACGTAGCTGATTTCTGGTCGACATTATCATGAAAGAGATGCCAGTTTTCAGGCAACATTCTGATTCCAGGCTTTCTTGTGTAAAATGTTGGACTAATTTAAGGCCTAAACAAGGTGTAATGGGCTTCTCTGGTCTCTGTTTCAGGCTCTGGGCAATAACCTAACATGCGTTGCTGCATTAAGACTTAATAAGCCTTTACGAGTTAAATCTGAATAAAATCTGGTACAATGAGTTACCTGGTCGCACATAAACATAACAGTTTGAATTCCCCAGACTAAAGACAACATTGCTACACCTCGTGATTCGGGGAAAGCGTTTGCATAGCGACCACCATCTCTGGAATGGACTAGTTCCTTTGTGCCGTTCTTATCTATTGAAAACAGTGTATTGGCGCAAGGTGTCTCTTACGTAACAGTGTCTTAAGTATGGAGAATACAAATTGTATGTTCACGTAAATTTGAAGAACTTAGTGTACCAGATCTTATTCAAATTTAACGCGCAAAAGGCTTATTATATGAGGTTGAAGATAATCATAGCACAAACGCCTCACATTTCTTCTCAAAAGAAACGTTAACCCTTTTGGCAGAAAGAAATCAGTCTAGAGACATGTAGTTATTATCAAGGAAGGCAGAGCACAACTCAACTCCTTTTTAGTTAGGACAGTATACTCCAGCTATTTGAAAGAAGGTTACATAACAACATTTTTTAAACAGGTGTAGTTTGTCATGAGGTTTGCAGTCCACTGCGTCTTAACAAAATAACCGAACGTCGTAGTGGGATTGGAACCAGAGGATTCTAAATTTGGTCGTCACTGTTCTCCAATACAGCTGGGCACACTAGGCAAAACGAGGTTTCCATTTGCCCCTTCCACCTACTAGTATTATCCGTCTGTCATTTTGGTAAATGGACACATGACTTTATGATGTGGAGTGTAGGCTCAAATGTTAGCAAAGACAACTGAAAACGAAAGTTGAGGTAAGCAGTGAATAACTAATTCACTCATGAGTAAATGATCTTGAACGTTTCAGCAAATGTTCAATTCAACGAAGAAACACTTTGATGAAGAAACAACTTGAAATGCATTCCTACTAAACTATATTACGAGAATTGCAACATTAAGTAAATAACGTTGTGAAATGTTTGTTTAAATTATTACATCAAAATGAATATATGATTCTTGACTCCCAAATAGCATTAGCATCATATTTAAGGCTATGAGCTGTAAACCCTATTGTTGTAGTGGTAGGCCAGTCACCAATCGGTCGGATGTCATTTTTTAAGCCAAATGGAAAACATTCCCACGACGCCATTTTCATCCCTATTGCTCTCAGCTTAATGCATGATTTGGGCAGTATATCGCCTCTGTTATGGTGTTCACCTTGCTCCCCGAATCTCGGGAATTCTGTTGACATGCAGGTACATGGACACGCTCATTACCCTGTTGCTGAGTACGGCAGATTGACCTTTTTTCTTTTTTTAAACTGCATTGTGCCTTGGCATGTAACAATTTGATTACACTTCGGAGTGAAACAAAGGGTTTATGGTGTACCAATTATTTCATTTTTCCTGACAGTGAAACCAAGAGTTCCTCAAAAGTCGGACCAGCATGTCTGGAGCCCAGAAGCCAGGGATCAAAGTGAGAAACCACAACGAAAACATGTTCGGTTTCAGAATTTTGGAAGGATGCTGCTGGAGCAGGAAACTCAGGCTGTCAGGTCAGAACACATATCCATATCGGTTTGGTATTCAAACCCGAGGTTGTATAGAAGTTGAACATAAATTCCAAACGATGAAATCTCACGAAAATTGTGGGGAGCGACGATTTTCAGTGAAGGAGCTGGTGCAGCATATGTTTATATTTTTTATTTGACGATTTTTTTTGAAATACCCGCTTACTCGGTTACCTGTAGTAACTCATTCCCTGATAACCATCCTAAAGGTGGTGCGCACATTAATCCTGTGTGGTTTTGGCATACATCTGGCGCTTCTACATGTATATAAGTGGCATAAACATTTTAGTTTTAGCCCAATTGAATGTGACACATAATGCGAAAAAAAAATCTTTTTGAAGTAGAAGAGAACACGGAGGCAATAAAACACCGGTTAAGCTGCCAAGGAGTCGGTTGCCGCATAATGCACTTGGTTTACACCAGCATTGCGATCATGTACTATCCACCATGACTCATCGCAAGAGCCGTGCAGGTGTCCTACGAGTCTTCGCATTGCATGCATCATCCAGTGGGCTTCATGGGCCATTACGAAGAGTGAATTGTCACGTGCATCTTAACTTAAAAAATTTAATTAAAGTGCAAACTGAGCCGGCACTCTAAAAGGCAGTACGTTAAGAACTGAATTTCGAGGACGATGTTCAAAAAATAAAGAGCAGCAAACTCGACGTATGCACTTTCATTAATATTTATCTTTGTAATGCAATTGACAAGTTCCTTTGTCATGGAACAGTGCCTCCCTGGAAGGGCATACCATCCAAATGTTTGCAACAGTAAAGTCATTGACGTGACAGTCCGGTATTCCTTTACGGATTAATACTGATATAAAAAACCGTGCTGTCATACTTCTTCTTGGGGAAAAAAAGAAAGACGGAGGCGGACCTGGTCCCACAGGACAACCCTCCTTGGAGTTTTATGGCTGTACACATGCCTTGATATAATGGTAAGGGGATTGCCCTAGGGAAATCAACCCCCTTTCAAGCCATGCCACGACCCGGCAAACTCGCCAATTTTCAATTTCGGCGAAGTGACAGGCAGCGCACTTCAGTGGCAAATGCGTGTATTCCCGCGCTTAGGAGTTTGCCCATCAACTCAACATGGCGAAATTGAGTAGGCTCCATCTGAGAGCAGTCGGTGTTTGGGGAAGGGGCAGCACGGTTTGCACAGTCCATTCTCTACGTGCCTGTGCTGGTAATAACTCCTTATCTCCCTATGCAACACGTCGCTTCCAAGACACTGGATTTGGTTCCATGTGCATGTATAAGATGTTTCATTAGGGTTAATGGACAGGCACGCTCTTCCTATGGTCGCGGAAGGCGTATGCTCATGCTTGTTGCAGTAAAAAGAAATATATATGTAGACGAAGTGACCCGATGACCCCGTGGCAGGCTTCTGTCGGCCTTTTATTCACTCACGGACCATGATTCATTTGATAACGTATCGGTATTGAAGTCAAAAACCTGTAGCATGTCGGTTTAGTTTTGCTTGTCGACTGAAACTGGACTCGGATGATTACACGCACAGAAAAACACAAACTTCACGATTCACTTGATAACGCATCGGTAGTGAAGTTTAAAACCCGTACAGCATGTCTGTTTAGTTTAGGAAAAGAGGTAATTAAGCTCTAACGCTCAAGCAAAACTGTCCGCAGCATGAACAGAACAGTCACAGAAATTTTTACAAGCCTAGGTAAAGAAGCCTTGGCACTTTATCTTTATCCCAGTGATTCCACCATTTTCCTCCTCCATGCATACTAAAATTCGCATCAAACCAGAAAAGCCTCGAAAGCGACACAAAATGGCAATATATGGACAATAATTAAAGTTAGTGGAACACAGATATATAAATTTGTTACAATGTTTCTGGTCGCACGTGTTAACCACCAGTATACCACTGCAGATTGGGCAAATTAATTCTAATGCTGCTTGTCATCTTCTTTAACCTTTCTGCGTGTGCAGCCGCTGTCAAACCTGATTAACATTTAACCTCTGAAGACGTGCGTAATAACTAAAGATAAGAAAGAAAACTACAACGTCTAGTGAAGCAGCCTTGCACGATTGAAAGTAGAATACAAAATATCTCACACTTGTGACACTGTACTCTTTCAACATCTCAAAGGAAGTTAACAAAGTGTAAGGAAAATGGCACAGACAAACAAACAAGGCAAAACTGTTGTCCAGTTTGTTTGATTTCTAGAAGGGGATTCCGAAGACCCCTTTATAATCATCTTTTTTACTAGTCAGGACTTGGCCATGCCTTCAGTTGCGGGTCCCAGCTGAGTCAATTAGCCCCGAGTGCTTCACGCAGACGTCTTCGTCTGACGACGGCCACCTCACATTGTCTTTGTGGGCTCTAGCTCTCAGAGAAGACACAGATTCTGTTGGCATGGTGATTGATCCAAAATTAGCCGCACCTGTCTCTTAGGACCAGAGCAAGTATTTAACTCGCCTGACAGAGACGGGGAAGATGGAGGGGAAAAAAAGGAAAATTCACAGAAGGGTTCAGGAGTGTAATAGCGCGCGAGTGACGGTAAAGAAGAAGGCACGGGAGCCGTCAAGACCCGGCACTCAAGATCTTAGTGACAATAGGGTCACAAAAGATAAAGCAGTATGGGGGAATGGAAATAGTCTGCCGCGAATGTATCACATTTTGATGTTTCACATAAGGTGGCTTATGCCGCTGCAATCTCCTTTTTGTCATAAACATTTATTACGGACATGAGAAGCTCGCATTCTGCCATCGAGTAGAAAATTAAATTTACTCGCCTGTAGAGGTGGCTTGTAATGCATTTTTGATGTTGGCAAGCTGAAGAACTGTAAAAACTCACGGACTGCAGTGCATCTTCTTTTAATTATACCTCGGGAGACCCTGTTTAAAGTACACCCTACGTGAATGTTGTCAGCATGTTGTCGTTCTTGTTTACGTTGTGAAGATGGGTTTCATATCCTCAAGGGTATCTGGAGTCTTGAATAATCCACTAACGTTTTCCATATCACAAGTGTGATTAAGTCATGATTTTTACCTCAAGAAAGATTTTATCAACACGATACGATATTGTCTAAATATGGAATAGCCTATCTTTTGATAAAATATTGGAGATTGGGATATCGGCGATATCGTTAATATCAGCGATCGTTTTGCTCAACCGAGTTTTCCGAAATACAAAATTAAATCGTTGGTGTTTCGTTTTCCTCAAATCTCACTGATTTCCTCATACTTAGCAAAACTAACCTCATTTTGTTGCAGTTCTGTACGTAAGATGTCAAAACCTACAAGGCTAAATCTAAAAAGAAAATTGCTAACGAGGACATCAGAAACATCACACCACGATAAGCCAGCTTTTATGACACCAAACAGTGAACGTACCCAGACTCCAATGGGCCACATCTAAAGAACGACCACGTCTTCCTTTTAATCTTACCAGTGTTGTGTTCTGGTAAAATACGTGCATAGCCTTTACCATTGTTTTTGCGTGGCACAGGACGCTAATTAATACCGTATGTATTTAGCTGTCACAATAATAAAATACCAAATGGAGAGTTAAGCTTTGTTTACGAGATTCGCCTGTACCTGACGGTTGAATTCAGAATCAAGCACCCCACTTTTCACTATGAAATACACTTCTGTGTTGATTCTTGTCTGATTTAAAATTTCGCACGTAAACATATCTAATCCTGCCTTTCTGTGGCGCGTCATCTACCGGTCAATGCGTTTCGACGCGGTTCACAGTGCTGCGCGCAGGTTATATACGTATAATTGTTCATTGGTCAGAATCACTTTCGGACATTTTTATCCGGGTACGCAAGGAACGAAACAAATGATCCGTCTGTTCCAGCTATAGTAGTCGGTAAAAAAAAGCGATTTTGCCACACCACATTGTTCATAGATTATACTTTCAGTCATGTTTTCAGTCATACATACTTTGAGGGCAATTTTATCGTCGTATTTGCAATATCGCCGGGGAAAGATTCGAGTACGAAAAAAAATAATATCACCAGCACCAGATACTATTACACTTTTTTCTGTACAATATCACTGAAATATGGCTTGTACTAATAATTATTTTGTTTGCCCGCCTTGTACTTTGGATTTCAAATCCCCTGTTTGACAGGACGTGTCAGCGCTTCATTGAGTCATGACGAGCTAATTACAAACGAAGCCGGCGACGGAGAGTGAATGTTCTCTGTCAGCCGTTCGTTTAATGAGATACCTACTCAATCGTGAAACGAGACTAGGGGAGATATTCAACACTGCCCACCGAGTAGTGGACATGAAACACAAAGCTGCGGAGCACTTTGCCCATTACTTCTTGCTGTAATACCATTTATAACAAGAAAAATACTTTTTGAAAAGGCTAGCAACTGGTCGGTTTCTTTTTTTTTGTGTAATTCTTCATATTCTAAGTTTTCAATCAACAATCATGACGATCGCGAGTATTCCGACCTACCTTTATAGTAAAAAAGTAAATGTTCTCAAAATAAATTAACATTTAATAGGCATTACCTTCAATGCCTTGACGCATGAGAAAAAGATGAAAAAGATTTGCCACCTGTTTAATTAATCATTAACTACGGTCACAGCATCAATTGTCACAATTCCGAATTAGTGTGTGCTTCGGCATCCCATGTATTCCTAGCTCTTGACAGGATGCCACACATGTTGATGCCAGTACAAGTAAATGTATATGAAAACGAGAACATGTATAATTTAATTTCAATTTTCATAGTAGAGAAGAAGATATTATTGATGGCTAAGGTAACCTTCTCTCATGGTAAAAACCTGCTCTAAAACTCGAACTGTAGCGGCAGAACATTGCCATACATGCCTGTCTTAATGGCCAAAGTCATAGCTGGGTCTGCAAATTGCATGTCAGTGCTGTTAGTTTAATGCATTCCTAATCATCTGATTCACCAGAGCAAATGTTATCAAAAGTTAACACGGAGGAAAAGCAGCAAAGAGCTATAGAATCTATATGTTGTCGGTTAATTTTTTTGCTTCAGGTCTGCTCCACCCCACATAATGGAGGGCTATTTGTCAAATAAGTGTGGTGAAAAAAAACAACATCCCTAGGACAGTCCTTCACGGTGCATTTGTGGCCTGCTTTCGGTGAGGCCAAACCCCGTGCCGAATTTAGTCTAAATTCCCAGGTGAGCGGCACGAATGTTTCTCCCCTCGGTTCAGGTGATGCGACCGCTGCTGTTAAGTGCGTATTACACCTTGTCACTTGGCGGTACGATTCCGGCAGGCGACGAGTCCCGAATTCGTTTAACAACGATGTCCTAATTACGGGGCCAGCCGTGGGGAGATGCCCGAACCGCCAAGATCCCGAAATGTCAAGCAGTGTACGGTCGCAAGAGTCTCCCTTGGCTCAATGTGCCATTCTTTTGAGGACATGGCAAGGGTACCCTAGCCGGCACGTTCTCCGCAAAGCAATTTTCGTCAAAAACGAATCCAAGCCTGCGGCAAAATGTGTATGAAAAAACAAAGCACACGCTAGGGATAATCTGCAGGTGACAAACGCTTTCATCTACATGTTAAAGGTGGCCGGGGGTCGTACATCGGAATTGTACCATGTCACCATTAGTGTGTTTAGAAGAAAAAGAGGAAAAATCCTTAGAAACGGATCACTCCAGAAATTACTAGAGGCTTATATGACAGCTCAATTTACAACGTAACAAAAACCGAATTGCTTTCATTACAGGTGCTATTTCAGGCTTAATGTAAATCACATGCAATACCGGTCGAATGATCTCAGCAGGCAATGCAGTCATGATAAAAATGGCCGAAAGTGCCGATTCTTATGTTCCTGGACAATCTCAATTAACCGTTTTCTCGGGGTCACGGTACCTTTGAAATTCAATACACTTTTCACTATCTCGAAAAAGTCTTTTCAGGTCGGTCATTTTAGTTTTCTGAAAAACAGGCAGCTTGCAGCAAATAACGCAGTGCAGTGCAATTTGCTCTTTTCCAATTAAAGATGAAACGGCTAAACGTCTAAAACACGCGCAGCCCTAGTCTGTGCAAACATTGAAGCTCAAAATGTTTTTATTGACCAGCTTTCTCGCGGAGAGCTAAGTGCACCTTCTTCAATAAGGAGAAAAAAATTAATGGGTCTTGTTGGAGAGCACAATTACTGATTTCACGAGACCTGGAAAATCTTGGAACAAATCATCACCGTATAAGGGCTCTTTCATCAAAGAAAGGGTGTGACGGTTGTGGCTTTCTCGTATGTCACGCTGCCTGGCTACTCTCACAATAGTGTGAGAACCGGTCCTCATCATAGTTCACCTTCACAACTGGGAGTTCCCGCTGTCTTTTTAGGGAAGCCAGGAACACCTGCAATTGAGTTGAGCATGGTATGGCGAGCTGGCAAACAGTCACGTTCAAACCCATCCCAAGAGTTGTACGTGTTGACACATGGATGCTGGAGTAACCCCTGCGGATCTCTGGGTTCCGCAAATCAGGTCAACTTGAAGTGAACCACTCTTTATATAGCATTTGCGCTGCACAAAATAAACCGACATTTCACCCAATTACTCAGACCACGGGAGAATATTATTTGATGAAACTGGTGCCATTTCATTGTCTTTGAGCGCCACAACTGCCCGTTTTTCAATAACATTGTGGATTGTTTAATAGTGACCGTCTTCTTGTATCCTAGTAAATGCTTCCTTCTATTAGTATTACCCTTGATATGATGTGATGATCCATTTGATGTGGTTCAGACATAGACAGAAAAACGTTGCATCAGCCTCTTGTATAGCGTTACACCTCGTAAAAAATGTCTGGCACGTGAAAATTCTCACCTGTCGTCATCGATGACTGAAAACTTTGCACTGGGGTGGTTATTGATTTGACACCATATATCGATGCGATATTTCATTTCGCACATTTAACTTGACACGAAACCTAACTTCGATGAAGATGAACTTTGCCCACATTTACTTTTGTGAGACTACTTTTTTCGGATAGTCAGACGAAGACTTGTTTTTTCGTAGGGGCCTCCATCATATATTGCCCCACTTTTCGCTGGTTTGTTACTTAAACTAGGTCTGGATCATGTCGTTCCACCGAAAGAAAATTAAGTTGAGATGTGGTGTCGTTTATCTGACCCCATTCTTGATTGATTAAGATTGAAAAATTGGCATCATCGCATAGGCACACTTGCATTGCTTTTGACCTCTGGGATATCAGTCTTGGCTGCTGATTCCGTTTAACACACATTTTTTTGATAAAGAAGACAAGCTTTTTCTACGGGTAACCAATTTTCACCCTGTTTGTCGACGTAATAACAGTATTCATCAAGGATTGTGCTGCTTCATCGGCATGCAGGGGTAAAACGGTGTCAAACTCCTAGATATTCTTTCAGCTGTTAAATTTCGTCTGTGCCTGGAGTCGTTGGCATGAATTTGAAGTGAATAGTGCTAGTTAAAGCATATGAGAAAGCCGCACCTGGAGAGATCGTTGTCATGCTTCACAAATTCAGCCATGTTTAAACATTTTATTTGTTCCCCCAATGTCTATATTAACTGCACGCGATATTCCAGTGTTCATCAGTAACTGTTATCGCCAGTTTTGTTTAGTGCGCTTGGTTAGGAAAGACCAATCTTTTTCATTTTCTTTAGTTTCAACCGATATTTGTCAGAACAAAGACTAAAGAGAGATTCCAAACCGTATTTTCATTATTACCAATGTGTAAAGGTAACGTATTTGCCCAGATCACTTTATGATTTCGTTTCATATTGTTGATTTACGGTGAAGTATATTTATGTTTTTAACCTCTTAACTGTAAATAGCCCAACAGTGATTGGTTAACTCAGGCCAATATTTCCGTCTTGTCTGAACTGAGTAGAAGCTCTTGATACAATGGCCATCTTCCTTTGATTTTAATACGTAGCAAGCTTTAAGTGCTCTAATTCTCAGATTCTCTTCGTGAAGTTACCAAGATTCCTATACTATCATACCTAAATATTCAATCGCGGAACACACTCGAGAGGTCTCAGTGTATATATATACGTACCTTGCAATAATATTTGGTCTTTTTCAGCCCTGTCCGAAATCAATGTCAGTTTTATATCCGATTTAAGGCACCGTGATTTGGAGAGATAAAATCTGGACAAAAATCTGTGTAATGATTTAGGTAACTCAGTTCGTCCAAACAAGCACTGGCGTAGCCACGGGGGGCCTGCGGGCACATGCCCCCCTCACACATTCCCGGTGGGCCCCCCAATTAAAAAACGGATGAATGGATATTGAACAAGGCTAACAAAAACGGCCCCAAAAAAACAAAACAAAACAAAAAATGTACCACTGAAAGCTGGTGGCCCCCCAGATGCTGGTGCCCCCTTTGTGCCCCCTCGTAAATCCTTGCTAGGCCACTGCAAACAAGAAGTGCTAACAATTCTTTACACGGAGAAAATGTCTTGGATAGACCGTCTCCATAGACACAGTTATAGGTGAACAATCTACAAAACATCAATTTAGCCATCTCTGTGAAGAGTTCTGAAGAGTAATCTGTTATAGAGTCATGTCACAAACTGGGGCCTGGGTTGTGTTGCTGCCTTCACATTCCGTCTACATATAAACAGAGATGGTTCAATAATTCTAGCAAAACAAAAAAATGATAAAGTCGGATCTGTTTTATTTAGATCATGTCATTCTCTTTTTCCATCGAAATCAAATGCTAGAAATGCTTTTGACAAAATTACCAACAACATCAAAACATATAATTTATGAAAGTTATATTATAGACTGATGCATTACGAATGTGTACACAAATCCGATTTACATGTGTAATGGAAGTCGTAAGAAGTCGGTTTTAGTGTTTCCTTACATGTATGTGTGAAAGTACTTGTTGAAGAATGAAGTTGAAACTTCCTTTTTTTTGGAGATGCGCATGCCCTCGCTGTCGGCCAAAAAGGGGCTTTGAAGCACTTTAACTACAAAATGTAATGGTGAAGTGGATGTTATATCCTTTTGTATGATATCATTTCATTCGTCGTTTTATTTCCACCTTGTTATACATTATTAAGAATCATTTTGCTTTGGTGACACTGCTTGTCAGATTCAACCTTCGTCATAAAAATGTGCATGAGTCTAGTTTTACGCAAGTGATTACAATATCTTTACGTATGACAGACATAATACACAACCTTTCTCCTTGTGATATTTTTGTATGATAAAGCCCTGATACCAATTCCTTGGAAATAACGCACTTTAAAAGGCAAGTGATTAATAATGCGTTTATTTCCAACATCTTATTTTAAGAAGCAACTTTTAAAAACTGGATTTCAATTGTTGGTTGCTACTGATCAGTTACCGTGTACCAAGAGGAATGGGTGTATGGTTTGAACGTATGGTGTCAATATTCACATAAAAGGAATACACATGACGTCATGTACTTCTATTGAAACTGAAATTGGTTAACAGCTTCTTCATTACGTTATCAAATTGTACAAGCATATTGTTGTATTACACGATATATACATTTACAGTCATTATTTTTATACTTCGACGATAAAAGTTTTCATATTTCACCTAAAGTCGCTGTAATAGCTGTTAGACACTATTTTACAAAATCGACTTGAACTTAACCTTTACCTATGGAATCTCCATATTATATCCATTAAAAAGGGAACACACACATTGTAATTAACAAACCGAACGGAGGCCCAGAGTTACTGTGCAGCTAGTGCTATAGCACCTGGAAAGCTTTTTTTACTTGTCTTTACTGTAATCAATCACTCGATTCGGTTCTTCATTAACAGAATTGAAGTCTACCACTAAACATTGCGTGTCTCAATGCAGGTCGTATTTGCAGGTGATGTTTGCCCTGCTACCTCTAAAATGCCCTCAATAAAATAGAGTACTCGTCTTCATTCAATTGGTATCGGCTATCTGTTGACATTTTATATCCCTTCTGGGGAAAGAACTAACATTGAGACCATCAACGCGTTCAGGAGAAGGTGCCACTTCGTTTCGCACTCTTAGAGATTTCCCTCATAATTACGGCATAATTACACTTATGCTTTCCATTTCTGACTCTCAGCGTGGTTTGACTCTCTACCAAATCAGCAGTTCTGCACACACTGCCATCCAGAAATTGCAGGTTCTTTGGACGGTGTTGCAAAAGTTTCTGTTTCTCCAAAAACTGAGAGTTGTGATCCTGACATGACCATTGGCAAAAATCATGATTATAGGCGGCAAGAGAACTTTTTCATTAACAAGGATCAGATTATTTTGTTTTTACACTAAGACCCCAAAACACAGGTTCTGTTTTAAATGATTAAAACCTGGTTCTTCCATTTTCAAGTTGCAGAGCGCATTGTATGAACATAAACTTTTACAAACGTGCCGTTGCTGAAATTTAAAAACAAACGACTACAAGCCCCATTCGCTAGATTTTGTTTAGATCACTTGCAAGTTATACAACTTGATATTGAGCAGTTTCTTGTATATTACTATGCGAAACTTGTCTAAAATGCATTTGAACGTATCCTTCGAATTTGAACATTTTGTTAGCAATGTTAGAAGCTCGCTCATTGCGTACAAAAACATTGAGAAGTACATAAAGCACATGCTACTGATGTCACTATGTTAAACAATTTAGAACGTTATACTTAAAATGTTATAATGGAAAACACATTAAACATGAAAACAAGTCTTTTAATGAAAAGGCAGTAAAACTGGACACTGCCCAGTAGGGAATTAATTACATATCATGATGTTCAAGTCCGATTGACAGTCGGTATAGGTACATGTATATTAAAATAATTCAAAGTAATGCACCTTCATGACAAAGTCATGTTTAAAGGGTAAACTTAAATAACATATTTGGAAGTAATTTATTTAATTGAATAACGTAGACATGAAGTCGTTCTGAAAAAATTCCGCCACATCTTAGCTTGATAATGCCAACAAATGGCCTTTACCATCAAGCCCCAAGAGGACAATTATAGCAGTTTCTAAATGTCAATTTTGCTGCTTTAAAGGGAACTAAAACATTCAAAACTGACCAGTATTCAATGGAACGAGTTTTCCAACTACATGTACATTAGAGCCTTAAACAAAAGGTTCTGCGCCCGCTAAATCAACAATTTTCGAGTCAAAATTGATGATGGACAAGTAACATTCCGATGGAGAGAGGAAAGTACAAGTATGTACGTTTAAACTACTAACATGCATTGTTGGGGGGGCGTTACGGAAACGTGATCTGGAGCGTTATCACTAACAGTGCAAACACCACTAACACTGAGTCGTACCATCCACTCGTTGGTCACGAAAAAATAATGTTCGTACCGGTGATGTGGTCTTGTCTGTCCGTTTTCATTGCTTTACCAACTCGTTTTACACTTCCGTACTGTAGATACCGTATACTGTCTATTCGCGAATAGGTCCGTCAGTTTTCAAAAATAAACCGGGTCCGATGTCTGTTGTGGCACAGCCTTCATGGTTTTGTGTTTGCATCTTGTCAAAGGATTTTGCCATCCCCAACAGAGGGAGAATTCCAATTCCATGCGTAGTTTATTATTAATACACAAATAGGTTTTCTGATCTTGCATGACTAAATTTATGATTTTCAGGTATTCACTTCAAATAATACTCGAAAGCCTACATTCACTAGGAAACGTAGGATGTGATTTGAACCATTAGTGGACTAAACAGAACGTGCTTTCATTTTTTTTTCTCATGCCACAAAAGATTATGTTGTACATGATTTATTACCTTTATGGCAGTAGAATCGGACCTTCAATTGGGTTCGCGAAAAGAAAGTAATTCAAATAAAAACATGAAACGTTTGTAAAATGTCCTAGCGTGATAGGGTTGGTATATATGGTAATAGTTGTATATCAGCAAGTCATCGATCGATGTTTTGTTCGTTCGTCTGCAAGGTGTCCGTTAACCACCACGTCCTCAGCGTTAAATATACAGACTAGTTTGCTGCAGTTCTTTGCACCCTCAGATACAGATTTGTGTTCATCGGCCTCAGTAGGGCACACGAATCTTTGCGCAGCACTCCTTAAAATGACCCACACAGTGTCATCCACAGCTCCAATGTGGGGTGGAATTTTGTAGCGCTGAGGTTATGGGGAATGTGTACATCATGTCTTACATAAATTTATTTTATGTGAACGTGCACGATCTTCAGTTGAAAAGGATTACACCGCGAAAGTACCTCCAAGATTTACTGTACCATGAGTCATGACCAACAATTACCGCTAAGAATTATTTGTTGAAATTAGTTGGCATTACAGTGTGCCACAAATAGATTGGTCTGATGCATCGAATATACAGGCATCGTGAAAAATGCATTTTCGTGCTGTTAACAGTTCGTTATCATGCCATTTCGGGGTGCTTTGCAATCATTACGATTCCTCATTCAGTCACGTCACGTCGAGTCATTACGTCCTTACAAACAAAAGGGCCGATAGTGTGAGAGGATGGGAGACAAACATCCAAAGGTTTTACAACATCCTGACAACTTTCCACAAGTACGGACTACACAGTGGCGAAAACAGGAAAATCAACACGACAGGATCACGGTATACGTAACGTTTCTCAAATGTGATTTATGATGGACACTTTGGCGTATGTATTTTTACTGGATTGAAAAACATGGACAGCTTTCTTGCATATTATTAAATTACCGAAAAGTAAGGGGTGGTAAATCCGTAGATGCCCTCAGCCTGAGCTTTGAAACATTTGTTTCAAAAACTAATATAAAACAGTCTTTGCCGTGCTATGATGCATCCCTCTTCCAAAGTTATTTGAAACTGGGCGGTTAAGCTTGTTAATTTGACGTATTTCTACCTAAATACGTGGTGTTTTACCAGAGGCTCCATCTTGTTCCATGCGTTAATTTTTCTTGTCCTTTTGGAAACATTTCGGTTAATTTGGAAATAACATTCTGTAGCTTAATGATATTTATTTATGTTTAAAACGACCAAATCATTATTTTCACCTTCGATGTAGGACAGAATCTGCTGATTACAGGTAGACTTCAAGCTGCAACGCATCATCTCGTGAATTTGTCCCATGGCTGCCGATTCCGGAATCGGCAACGCTTGTTTTCTTCACTCGGTCCCCGTTGACTTCTCCTAACTCAAGGGCATCACTATCCCTCTCTTTACTTGATCTTAGGACAGAGTTCTTTTGAAAGCCCACGTGTCTTCCTGCGGCGTCATTCACAATCTTGGGATTATCGGTGATATTCGGTAACAAGGGGTCACTGGGGGCAGATTCTTCCTCCATCCCATCAATAATAAATCCTTCTGGGTCTGTTCTTTGCAGAGTATCTGTCAACGACGACCGTCGGTTGTTGTTCTGGGACCCATCACAAAGGAAGCATCCCTCCTTATCGGAATCGGCGTCCGACACGCTTAGTACATGCTGTGACGAGCCGTAGGTTTCAGATCCCGGACATGAGATCTGCTTATTGTTCCGAGACCTGAGTTTATCCGGGGTGGACGGTGGGAAACAGGACAACTCCAGGGCGTTGGAGCCGTGGCCAGGGCTCTTTTGCAACTGCCGAGTTCCTATATTGTCAGCAATGTCCGAAGGGTCCTCCAAGGGAGCAGTTCTTTGATAAGATGGGTCTTGGCCGACAACCCAGTAGGTAAGAAGCTCTCCTTTGCCTTTCATAGCAACTAGTCCGCGCTCTTCTAGCTCGTATCCTTCGAGTTGGATTAAGTTGTCACGGCACTGACCACTACAGTGGATCCTCAGAGCTGAAAATCCAACCAGTTAAAGGTTAAAATAGTTAAATGTGCATGTTGATTATTTCCTCTAGATCATTGAAAGAAAAATGTTCTCTATAACTGATGGGGCTGTCCAGGTTAAATAGACCACAAGAAATGATGTAATCTATGACTGAATTAGCATGATCAATTGAAGTATTGTAATTTCCAAGGATGATATGAATGACTAAGGCACTGCTAACATTGTACACAAACTGCGATTTGTCTGATTTTTAGGATCTAGTAGGTCTAACGGTTATTTTTGGCTTTCCAAGTAATCCTTTCGTAAAAAAATGCTGCTGGTGCTCTTTGTGAACTGCGAAGAAAAGTTCTGTGCATGCAACTTTGTTTCACACCAAAGAACACTCTACGTTGTTTAGTTACAGAAAAATCTGAAATGTTTTCACGGGAAGGAAATTTGGTGAGAAACCTTAGGTGTCTTAACCACAAGATGGGAAGTCGATAGGAAACGTAATACAGGCTTGGTATTCCAGACAGAGAACACGTCACTGTGCAAAGATCAATGCATCAGCGATCAGACACTGATGGATCAGGTCGTTCTGGGTGAGACATCAACTCTCAGACAAAAAGCATTAACTTACGTTGACCATTCGATTCCATTCTGGAGGCGGTGTTTACAGTGTCACCGAAGAGGCAATACCGAGGCATTGCGAGTCCAACAACACCCGCCACTACAGGGCCTGCAAGGTCAAATGTTCTAAAGTGTACTGGTGAAAACTGCTGAAATTGCTTCATTTTCGTTATTCCCGCATGAGGAACTTGTTTTATACATAATAATTTTAACAGAGCGGGTAAATCATATAGCAAAGTTGAAGTTTTGCGTTATTAAATTTACTTTCCAGTAGTGTCGTAACGGACTTCATATGGAGCTGGATCTATTGTAAGTCACCTATGCATTAATGTTGGTATGTTCGTCTTGTAGGATTCCCAACTAATTACAAGGTCGCTCCTCATCTGACATCCAAGACCCATCCATTCCTTAACTGTGTCCTCTGCAATCGTTTTACACAGTTCCATGGAACTTTGATAATCGTAACTTTCTATTCAAATATATAAAAATCATGACCTTGTCTATATATTGAAAGCAAAAAAAAAATAAAAATTTATCTTCCACCTGAATGGATTCCGATGCGGAGTTTTAGTATTTCATCTGGCTTGTGTCGAATGTGGAACTCTTTTACGGCTGCCAAGAGGTGTAATGCTGTAGAAGCGATCTCGCCAGCATGTCGGATGCCGTTCCTTATAGGTAGACCGGAGACCAGCATGTATGCATCCCCGATAGTCTCTACCTTGTACACGTCATAGTAGCTTATGATGGCGTCAAACAAGGTGTAGAGATCGTTCAGCAGGTCTACTACCTAAATAACATGTAGACAGTAATTGTGCAATTCATGTATTAGATGTTTTGTTGATAGAACGGAATATTGTAAAAGCGTGCGTGGGAGTTTATTTCCTTGAGTTGTAGGAAAAAGGTCGACATATTTATGATAATCTTGACCCTACTGATAGTCTTACCTGACGAGGAGCGAGAGACGCTCAAAACTTGTAATAAATAAGAACTAACAGGACGACGACTTTCCGTAAATTCAAGAGTTTATCGGTTCTGAGAGAAACTGTTGGATAAACATCACTTTGTTCTATTCGCATCCAGAAGACAGGAACTCACTGCAAGTGTTTACCCTGAAACAATACAAGTAAACTTTTCCTAATGACAACATTGTTTGTCATTTACGGAGCTTATGACCTTTGGAATTAAAGATCAACACTAATTGGCCATAGAGCCCATGAGTGGCTATCTCTATACGCAGTATGGCTAAAACGGTACACACACGTCGTTGACAATACATTGTACCTCCTTTAAGTCGGCCCGAGTTTGATGTGTTTTGTCTCTTTCTTTTTTTTTACATATCGGTAATATGGAGTTTTTCATTGCTCTTTGTTCACTTACTTAAAAATTTGGTTTAGTTATGTGAAATTTATCGTACTCACGCCATAAAAGGTAGTGATTACTTAAAATTAATGCGTTGTGAAGGTAAAACAATTAAGTTCTACCTTCAGATGAATTTCAGTGCATGGCTGACTCACGCTATCCTTACATTGCTACTCGTTTTGATTAAAATGTCATCCCAGTTGTTTTTTGTGCATGGTAAAATCGTTTAGCAACCTCGGCTCGCTATCTTACGAACAGCCTGCATCCCCCATTCAATCAATGACGAAGTAGCAACTCTGCAAATTAACTTATGGTAGGTCAGCGAAGCCAGCTGCACATTACAACCGAAATAGCAAGCACAGCACTATCAGTGGTTTACGCAATAAGCCGGCAACTTCGGAGAGTTCAAGAAATATCAGGTACATGTATGTGGACATTTATGATGGACAGAAAGGTTTGATGCACTTTGCATCAAAATCATTTGATTTGTAGCTTTGCGAAGATTACCTCAGGGAAACGAGTGCAATACCTCAATAATCGAAAACTCTGACGAAGCAAATCAAACAGATTTAATTTGGTGTTTATTGGGTCTAAACCACTTTCCCGTCACTAGTTTTGCTGAGCATCTAGGGTCCCTGAGGTATCAACAGAGGGCACATAATGATGTTTATCTCACTAGAGATGATACCTTCCCAGGAATTGACAATAACGATGCCTGAATAAAAAGGGAGCTAGCGTCGGATACTTCAAACCTTATAAGAAATTTGAAGCAAGATATGGGACGGAGAGAACCCCCCCGCCTTTGTGTTGGTCATTGCTTGGTCGGAATTTCAGGAATTCTTTACAGACTTCTAGGGGGGATGTGTTAGGTAACAATAGTCTAGCGTGTGTATAGGGATTGGACAGGTAAGGGGGGTACCCCTCCGTCCCATATCTTGCCTGGTATATTATAAGTACCTTGAGTAATACACCACTTGTTTACAAACAGAATGCCAGTAAAACTCATTATGCGATGAGAGAAGAAATAATTCAGGTAATGTAGTGCGTAACACGAACCGCTTTTGTGGATCATAAAAGAGTCGCACACTTTCAGTAGAGGCGTAACAGTCACTCTGTCTGCACCTAATGCCCATGACGCTCAACTATGGAGGACCGTATTATGGTCGGGTGTGTGGCTCACAAATGGAGTCGTATACTTTTTCAGTATACGCGGGTTTTCTTTTACGAGCGTGCAAGTATCTTTGGTTAATACTCAGTAGGTCCTACGAGGCTAACGTTGGAGGATATGTGGAATGATGGAGATCTGAAATTAAACTCATAAAACATGAACCATACAGTGAACCAATGTATATGTTCACAAGAAAATGATATGAAGTAACACATAGCTGTCATGCAAAATCTGTTTAATATTTAGCAATTTGTAAATAACTTGGCGAAAGCCAAAATGCCCAGTTTAAACCTGTTAAGAATGAATAATTATATTCATTACTTGCTTAAAACGTGCACTTTGATTGAATCGACTGAGGTTAAATTCTCATAATATTCTGAACATGTTGCAAACGTAATTCCAAATCGATTAAATTATTCATATAATTATCATTGAGAGAGTAATGTTTCCTTAGATGTATACCAGCTATTTGTGGGTATCACGTTTGAGTGGTCTTATTAATTACATGTCTTGTGCGGAATAGCGACAACAGCTCAACCATGCTTGACATGTCGCCAAGATGCACATGTTTGTCATTCGGCAATCGCTTTTTCGTATTCCAGAAACTATGCCTGCGCAGTAAAGAACATCACTTAAAAACATTTGCTGACTGGCGCGAAGAGTATACTTGAGCTCGACTGCAATGCATTTTTAGATCGATTTTCTTCATTATATATTACATGATTGCGCTTATTCCGTCAATGTCTTATAACTTCTGCAAACCATTAACATAAATAATTACAGTTGCACATCCCCTAAAAGGACGTTCATTGTGCTCTGAGGAATGGGTAATAATTGATGACCTGATTGTCTCGTATAAGAAATTGATATGAATCACTGTAATACGACCTTGCGTGAGTATACCGATGCGTTCCAGGGAGGATTTTTCTTAATTCAAAGTGGCTTTTCTTGTCAGTGACGCAGTGGAAAATATGAATTTGTTTAATGAAAAGTTTTGTGACCCCTGAGGCAGAGGGATTCAGAATAAACAAGATGACAGGTGGCTTTTTTCACGCCAATGCGTCAGTTTATGCCCGAAACATTTATGCATAACCATGACAGTCGTTAAAGATGAAACAATATGAAAACAGGCATTCTTTTTCAAAACTTTTAAAATGAAACAAAAATTTTAACTGAGCAAAAGGTACAAAAGATTCTGCGACTGACTTACGACCGCAGACTCATTCGGGGTAAACGTTTCCAAAGAGGTTTCATCGATGCAGTCTTGTTGGACCTTTAATCTCTTACGCTGCACTGTTTGTAACATTTGTTCTCGAACGCTTTTTATCGACTTGGTTATTTACTGCAGGAAAGTTCTGATGAAAAGTAGAATTACTGTATGTACAAAAATCTCCACATGATCTTGATCCAAGATGGAGTGCGCACCAATGTGGTTGTCCTTACGGAAATGACTGTTCACGTGATACAAAAGCAAAAAGGCGCACTGACACATTTCTGAACCAATTATTGCTGTATTAGGGAAACGCCATGGCAACCAACTACCCACGAAGAAAAATTCATTCGCAAGCTGATCAACCTTACAGATCTGATCTCATTCTTTTATTTCAGAAATAGAGGGGGATAACTCTTCAATACACCTCCAAGGGCGTCGCAGCGAAGCGAAACATGCAACAGCGTAGCTTAGAAAGGGAAAATGGGAGGGAAAATGCTGAGGGGCTTATGGAAAAGTGATCGCTGCGGCGTTTCAAAGGTAAACACCATCATTACCACATCCCATCAGGGGCCGTAAAGATCCGTATCTGCGGCACCAGTTCATCAAGCTTCACTGGTAATGATTTCTCCCACACCTGATGTGATAAATATCCCAGGCATACACTACTTCGATGTCGATGACTCCTTAGCTGAACACGTACCGGGCTCTGTTTTTTGTTTAGCTCACAACGGTACAGCCTAAACATTGCCTCGACGATTGTGTAGGCGTGTTTCTCGAGCCGTTTCATGATGAAGAGCTATCCTGGCCGGCTTCGCAATTATGAAGTACTTAATTTTCCTCTCTACCATAAAATAAGAGTTGGCCTTTGTTTCTGTTTGCACAAGACTGGAAAGCATCCAAGGCAGCTTCGAGTTAAAAGCATTCCATGGATTGAGTAAATCTGCATACAAGACCCATCAATCAAGCTAGGGTAATGTACACAGAATCGTGCTGAAATGGAATTATCTCATTCTATTCAACCTGGAAATGCTTAAATTAAAAAACCATGGAAATCATCTTACTACTCATTCATAGGCAATGACAGAAGCGCTTGTAGTGTTGCCCTAATGGCCCGTTGCCCCAAATTGTGTCTTTTTTAACAAATTTGCCACGTGAGACTGAATGCCATTTCCAATCAATAATGGCAAATTGTAATTTGCATTTATTCTTATTGACACCAATGGCCATTCGTGCACATCCAGTCTGCATTGCCTGCCATGCAAATGTTGCAATTTGTTGTCTGAAGCGGCGGCTTCAACATTTATCCTACAATAACCTGGATAGGTTAAATTAGCTTATATACATCGAAGGGGGATATGGACAGGTAATCAGCCGAGTATTAACGAAGCAGAATACATTGGCGTCTTTGTGGCTGGACTATGCACTTCGTAATCATTCATTGAATTATGTACAATAAGGTCAGTGTGTGCGTGGGCAGTATTCAATACTTCACTTATGGACGACGTCAAATTGAACAATTGTATGAATAGATAAAATGTATTACAGTAACACGAATAAGAGGTGGACACAATAGACAGTGACATTACTAAAAGCAATAAAAAGCTTTTCAACGTATAAGTCGTCAGATGTAGTCGTTTTTGTCCACGTGGTGACAAGTCCCCTCGGTAAATGTCAACGTACCAAAAATGCATCAAATATTTTCCGAGCATTATATTTTCAAACAATTGGCACAGCTGCATGCGCCACTGTAAATTCATTCGGATACGAATGTTAACAAGAAAACATAAGTACCAAGTGCAAAAATAAACCGGCGATATTTCAATCTCTCTGGCAGTAGGAGCTTCTCGACATTCCTTCAAAAACTAGCAATTTAAGTTCGTTCTTTCCTAACCAATAATGGCCAGACAAGGGCCAAATTTACTGTTATTTTTATTTTGACCACAGTAATATAAAAATTTATAAATGCTACTACCGGAAGTTCCGAGGCTAGGCTTTCATGTGCCTTTGTCATACGTAAAAATAAAATATGTTTTGTTTAGCAATCTGGCAATTTTCCAGCTCTCCACAAGGTGATGTATCGGTGAATTTGTCAGAAGAATTATGACTGAAGTGTAACAAAAACAAAAACCGCCATCTATCGTCAATTTATCTTTATAACTTATGCTTTTTCAGTGACAGCTTGAAGTAAAACTTAAAAATTAGTTATAAATAAAATGTCTTTTATCAATAAAAGGAGTATAAATCAGTATAAATCTTTTTCTGCTACATTCTTGTCTTACAGGGTCGACTGGCACCATTCACCTTCCGCATAATTTTCGATAAAATGTCCCGGTATTCCGAATTGCAGTTGTAGACGTTTATTTCTATAGTTGACCGTGTCTTGTAAATGGAATATCTTAATTCGGCACGTTTTCATATTGCTTATTAGATTTCTACCACTTCTGGAGATTACATCGAGTATGCTTACTAACCCTAAAAATACCTGGCGTTTTCGGGCCGTCTTACTGCCAGGAAGGGGGATGGGATTCCGAGCCTCCAACATCTCGGCTGTTACATACCCGATCTTTATGAAACTTGGCACGCATGTAAAGACACTCCTTATTAGTACATGTACATCTTATTCAATCCAACATGGCTGACTTTTTGGCTGACCTGTATCAGAAAAGGCGTTTTGCGATAACAGTACGTCTCCTTTTCACCAAATTGTCAAAATGACCGTAAGACATTACTTGAAACACTCCTGAAATGTTCGGACCGGGAAAAAACGCACTTTGACAACATTGGAGAAAATGTTGCAGGGGGAAAATAGCGTCCCAGCTGTTAGAATTGACAGAATTGTCAAGTCCAGCATAAAAGGGTCAAACACAAGGGGGCGCTGTGACAATAATAGGCAACATCACGGGAAACTTGGGTAAGTGCCAAAACACCAGGGCGCAATCCTCTTGCAACTGCAACAACGTGCATGGGCCATGAAAACTGCGGAATATCTTCATGGAGGGAAAGGAATACTGTCGTCTGCTTCGTGGATGCTGTCCTGTGCCCCTAATTGGCAGGCACTGCCATAGATGGCGGCCTGCCAAAGTTGAATTGATTTTCCCCATCGTTTCTGCAGCCAAGGTTAGGAGACTAAAAATGAAGTCAGCAAACTGAATAGGATTCTGGTTCTTGTCTGATTACGTGAATTTTCTTTAAGGTAGCATTCTGTGTGTTTCTCGCACGTCGTAAGTTGAATATATCTCATCGCTTTCTCTCCCCAGGTTTCGTCAGGCTGAAGAAATGCATTGTCTGGCACTTTTGAGGAACCCAGTTTAACAGAATCCTTGGTGAGTGTATTGCTCTATTTCTATGGCTTTAAGGTTTTGCTTACGTTTGGAAAGCTTTATGGAAAACCAAATCTGAGAGATTAATGGCACAGTTTTATTGTTGACACGGGCACTCGCGAGTTTAATTCCGATAATGTCTTGCAAATTCAAGGTTTAACCAGTTTTTCCTTGCAAATGTTGAGAACAAAAAACATCCACCGGTCCTTTGCATGAAATCCTACCTTCTAGAATATTTACAAGTGCTCTTCAGCGCGAAAACTTTTGAGTAAAAGCCCAACAAACTTCCAAAATGTTTAGTAAATGCCAACAATTTATGAAAAAATATGATTAAGGCCGATAATGACATCGTCATAATTGGGAGGAACACCTCACATTGAATGACAGGATTTTTAACACAGAGTAATCTTCAGTTTCATTAAAATGCACCTCAATGAGGACTCCTTGTGGAAAACGACATTCGGCTAATATCAAGAGAAAGTCTTTTAAGAAAATGCATTTAAGATGAATGTCTGGAAGATGACTTAATACCTCAAGGTACCATCTCCTTTGAGGGGCAAAATATGCCATTTGTGAATTAAATTTGAATAAAATCTGGTACACAGAGTTATGAGATTGCACATAAATGTAGCAATTCGTATTCCCCGGACTAAAGACACTGTTGCTATACCTCGTGAATAGGGGGCAAGCCTTTTCATAGCGACCACCATCTCTGGAATGGATTGGTTCCTTTGTGCCCTTCTTATCAATGGGAAGAGTGTATTGTTGCAGGGTGTTTCTTACGTAACTAAGCAAAGGTTGCCCCGAATCACGAGGTATAGAAACAGTGTTTTCAGATAGAGAATTAAAATGATATCCACGTGAATTTTAAAGAACTCAGTGTACCAGATTTTATTCAAATTTAACTTGCAAAAGGCTTACTGTTAAACCTTCCAGAAAAAATGATCCTAAAACTAAGTTGGACGAACTTTCTGATGAAAATTCAGCCTGTTGTGATACAGGTTAACAACATTGGGGACTGTGACTGTAAATAATGATGGGGTGATGAATACATGTAGTTAATCCTACCTGTAATGGGGAGCTTCTGGATGAGAGATCAGTAAATCCGACAATGTCGCTGAAAAATATGGTGACACTATCGAAAGACTCCGGAACAACTTGCATACCTCGCTTGAGTTGATTAGCAACTGGCCTTGAATGGAAAAACGCAAACAAACGAATCAAACAAGATTTCTTCTCAACTTATTAAAATAGGCATCTTGTACACCCAGCGCTTCGGAAAACAAAACATTTGGCATTTTACTACCATTACCAAGCTTAGATTAACCATAAATTTAGTTTTTTAAATATTGCGTTAACTCTGAAACATCCTATTTAGTTGTAGGCCTACACTCACATGCTTTTCCTCTGCTCAATTCAATTTTTTCATATCTCCCCGGCTTTTTTATTGTTTCACAACAATATTCCAAAATGCATATGGAGCGGTATTAAACGAACGCCTAAATTTACCTTTTCCTTAATCTTACAGTTTAGAATTGGCTGAATAGAAATCTCAGTTATAGATCTTGGGCCTTGCTTTACTGTGAATCAAAGCTTGAACCGTCTCTTACTTTGGCAGCATCCTGTGGAGCAGGTTATCTGTCTTTTTCTTCTCCTCCACGAGCTGGTGGGTCCGGTCCTCCACTATCTCCTCCAGATTGTTTGCATATTTCTCCATGATGGCCATCATATTATCTAGGATGTCAGACTTCCTGCACGTAAACCAAATACCATTCGGATAACCTTCCTGACAGGTCTTGATATCAAACTCATTTATCAGTGTGTCGTGTCAACACGCTTAATCTCTCTCTTTCAGCTCAGACCAACCCAGGATGTCAGCTACAAAATCTACATTAACTCGGCCTAAATTGAAATTCTTTTGGCAATTTATCAAGTATTCCGTGCGCGTCAAAGACAAGAGGCCAGCTGCACTTAGAGGTAAGAATGTCATTGGGGGCGCTGTTCACGAAAAGTAGTCACATTCAATATCCATACGTTCAATTTGTGAAGAAAATAGGTTACGTATTATGTTAGTTGGTGCAGCAAAATTTCTGTGTGCGTAGTAATTATGAGTGAAGTATTTCAGCGCAAAAAACAATGAACGAACAAAAAGCCTCAAAGCAGTGAGCCGAATGCCAAATTAAGGTCAAAAGAATGAAAACTCCAGTATCGTTCCTGAGTCTCCCACTGTGTGGAAGGGTCTTCCAGTTTCACCAAAAGAGGGCGCACCTTGCAAATCAAAGCTACGCCGTGGTTGAAATAGTCTGAACAACATGACATCTGCACAGAATTTTGCTCAAAAAGGTATATCTTCTTCATTTTAACAAATATTCTATCATTTTGAACTTCCAGCAAACCAGGGGGGTCAAAATGACTTTAAAGGTCAATTTCATGCATTTCACCAGCTGCGGACATTGTTACATTTTGTAGTCTTTTGGCTATCCACATAAACCCTGCTGTTATTTTTCAACGGTGGTAATAAAATTATACAAATTTATATTGTGTCAGTAGAATATCCCTAAGTTAAGTTTGATCTGATGCAGTGCCACCATGAGAAAAATACCACTTATTGAAAATGCCCGAGAAAATAAAATTCAATATGAATATTTTCCCAGTGCCACAGCGAAAAAGCACAGGGATGTTTCTATAACAAGAAGCCAATATTGTTGCATACTGCCGAATTTGAGTCAAGAGGGCAATTTATTCCTAAATGTCACAGGACTGTAAACTTCTCACAGAAAATCAACACTTCTCACATGCCACTGTGGAGCGGTTTGAGTTTCACTCTGATGGTCTTGAAGTCTGGTCTCTGATCCGGTACCTCTTGCCAGCATTCCTGCATGGTGGTCAGAAGGCACTCGTGACAGTCCTCAACCTCCATCACGTTTGGTCGGAATGGCATCGTCGGGTCGAGTGGATATGTTACCTTGTCGATTATCTCTGCATTCAAACGTGAGGTAAAGTTTTGCCAGTTTTAACTCTGATGGTAGGCGATAGCATAGTATTGGTCTGATGTGAGACAGTTCCTTTGAAAGAATTGTTTACCATAACGTGTAACATCTTACAATCAGTCATACATTTTACCTGAAGAGCACTTTGTCAAAGTCCCGGAGTGCCGTTTTAACCCTGGGGTTAATGGTACTGCAAGCGGCCAGGATCGTGCGACAGATTATACCATTTTGCTCGGAGGTGCATCGTGGTAGAAATACCTATTACTTGTCTCATCCTTAAACTTTTGATTCTAGACAACTTGACCCTATTTATAATATGAAACTTTACTTCAGAGTACTTTCACTTTTCCAATCGCCTCTGCAGTCATAAAAACGGAGTCCCATTAAGTCGGACGAGCGCCGGATTAATGCTACCCAGGAATCCGCGCAAAATGACAATAACAACTGGAGTACCTGCCATTGGACACTGGGGCAAAAACAAACGGGCTTCTTCAGCGGCCTGAAAGGTACACCTGTTCGTGGTGTGAGCTTTAGAGGCACGTCAACATGAGGATTTGCATTTAAGAAGAGCCTGTCACCGAGAAGACGACGGACGATTTGGCCTCTGCCCACTTCAGACTGATGGAGTAAGTGCAGTACTTGTGAGTGTATAGTAAAGAGATATTACGATTGGAATACCATATAAGCTCATTTCACAGATCAGCTAGGTTTCACATGTCACCCGCTTGTTCTTTGACTCTAATGGTGCCACATGATTTCGAACATTCCATACGTGTACTCGAGACAGCCTCAAAATATTGGACAGTAACCGAGAATGATCTTGAGTCGTAATCTTCATGTTGAGCAATTGTTAACCGCTTAAACCAGTGACTAATATACCGTATCATTTACATTTTGTAAATGCCGGAAATTAAACTTTTATTAAAATTAATTGGAGTTGGCTGGTAGCGGAAGACACAAATCTGAGCGAACTTAATCATGATTGGGGAAAAATATCTAGTCCTGTATTTTGGGTTTTTGAGTGACAGAGTTTACCCGTATCATATCTATTCAGAGTACATTTAAATGTACTTTAATGTAGTTTAATCGAATAAGTTAAGCCAAGCTTGTCTAATTCTTCGACCTTTCGCAGACATAAGTGCGTGTCAACATTTTGTAGGGTTGCAAGTGTTTTTTTTTTACTTTGGGCACGTCTTATCCAGCTTTCGGGAACGGCTTCAAATGACATAAAACGTTGAATGCGGGTTGGGGACGTGTCACACAGCATGGTCGTATGTCAGACATTTACAGACAAGGTTTGATTTCCGTACCAAACCATCTTCACTCAGAATAAAGTGTTCCATTCAGGAAACACGAAGAAGCACATGGAGCAAATTCGAATAGTTACTACTATGTGGCAGGTGGTTGATGGTGTTAAATGAATATTCATCCCTTAATAAGGAAGAAAGAAGTTGTTTTTAAGGCAACTATAGAACTGCAGGCCACTGTCGTAATTTCTGTATCAGTTAAGGCCCTACGGGAGTAGGAGCGAGATAAAAACCTCAGATGACTGATAAACTTTCATTATCTACCGGTTCAGATAACCCATTGGTTTCAGGCTATGAGCAAGGATTATTTCATTTGAGTTAACGGAGCAAGATCACATGATAACGCTGTCGGGTGTGCTGTCGTCAGAAGCATCTGCTTTCACGTATTTACGAACTCAGATTCTATGAAATTCTGATGGTAAGAAACACGCACCTTTGGTTCTGGCGACAATGTACACAAACTATGGAAAGAAATTCCGTAAACGAATAAAAACAAACGAAATTGGATAGAATAAAATTCCGTTCAAAACGAAAGGTTGTTAGTAACGCCGTGCGTAAAAAGACAAGTTAAGCTTCACAGGTTTCCCATTTTGGGTGAAGTTGGACAAAACTTGTCAGTTTCAAAGCAAAATTACCTTCTCTGTTAATGAGCTTTCTCTTTTAACACGGAAGAGCATCCACGTCAAGAAATATTGCAAAAACATTGCTTGATTCCTTTGCACTGCTTTCGGGGCTGTGTAAAGACTTTGAACTTTGCGCTACCTTTTGGGGTGAGGGCACAGTTTCCAAATGGTCCATTTCTGTGCACTAACTCGTATAGAATAATTGCAAACGAATAGATGTCGCCTTTTTGCGTGCCTTCTGGTGGTGCATGAGTATTTCGCAACAACTCCGGGGCTTTCCATAAGAGGTCTGTAAAACAAATGACAATTCATATATTCGTGAATTAGCTGATAGATTCAGTAGTAACCTTGTTATAATAAAAGTAAGTGAAGGAAGGGTAATTCAATGCATCCTTTGACAAACAGCACATACTCTGCAGAATTCTAATGACTGGTCATTCATTTTTCATATTTATAAGTAACTTTAAATTGAAAATGGTTGCGTTACTTAATGTATATCATATATCTATAATATCAACTAAAACTCAGATCCAGAAATATCCCTATGAAATATTATCTGGCACATGCGAAAAAGCTTTTACAATGCTCGAGGGAGAGATGCCCACACAACAGAACAACCGGTTTGTGCATCACACTGAAAATCAGGTGTAAAAATCCGTATGGGCAAGGGGTACGTAATACACACAAAGCTGAGATCAGTGGTCACTTAGCGCCGAGTACAGTTCCTGCTGTTCAAACAGTCCTGTTCGAAATTCTGTCAAAACCCAAGAAACTCGGAACAAAACCCAGGAGTGCGCTCAAATAAATAAACTTAAAGTCGGGTGAGACTGTCAATAAGTACCCACAATTACTTGACGGGTTATAAGCAAGTGCAAAAGAAGGCGGAATATACCAAAGAAAGACATTAAGATTCTGAGTTTGTGAGAATTCACTGCAAGTGTGTATTTCAACCTTTACACACAAGATGAGTAGCTTCTCCCTTAAGCTTTTTTATTTCCAGAATTAAGCTAGACTTATCGCAGAGTATTTAGGCACTGGGCTGCGTACGTTTCTTTCACTGGCGCTTTTATTTAGATCTCACTGAGGAGGATCTTGAAAAGAGAACACTTCTCGAAGCTTTTCTTGAAGAATCCATTAAAAACATAAGACGGACTCACTCTGATAAAACGCGTGTTCCCCCATGTCGTCCCTCTGATGACCTGCTTTAAAGTGATGCAGGCCAAAATCTGTTATCTTGAGAACCCATCGACTATCCACAACACAGTTGGATGACTTCAAGTTACCGTGGGAATGTATTACGCTAACGTGGAGATGACTCATTCCCTGCAAAAACGGACAGGAAACAAAGAATAAGAAATGGGAAGACAAAGCAAACACAAAGTAGGAACATCGAATACCGTAGTATGTTTGCACATTACCTTTATAATATCGGATACCAGGGAAGCAATAAACATGTTGTCCAGCTTAATATCGTCATTCTCTAAAATATCCTGGTATGAAGAGAGAGAGAGAAGGGAAAAAAGATTGTTACCTTGCACCCATTCAACTCAACCATGAATTCATGATTAACCAGGATCAATGATAGTACGACCACGTGAATCGTTCACAAAGAATATGTACAAAGGTACCTGCAAACTACCGCGAGAGCAATACTCGGTAATGATGCAGATATTTGGAGGATCGGCACATGCACCAACGAAAGAGCAGAGATTGGAATGACACAGATCCCTCATCTGGAACGAAAAAGTGATAAACGCGATTTACAACCGTGTTCTCAAAGACATGTTCTCCGCAGAAAGATACAAGCCATTATAAACAATAGAATCCTAGCAGTACAATCACTCTACAACGTGTTGAGAACTGATCCAAAAATAGGCATAGTCATATATCAAATATAAATATGAATTCATAATAGTTTACTTTTTGCCTGGGACTCCGTGAATGCACTTGGAATTTCAAGAATGTTTGATGACTGAAGTTTGATTAATCGTTGAAAACTCACAATTTTCAGTTCCAGGCGCACACTTCTGTTGATATCAACGCTCTTCTTATTCAAAGTCTTGATGGCAACAACCGAGCCCTTGTACACACCAACTTTTGTGTATAACTGACTCTTAAACAAAGACCCACGACTGTCTGTCGTGACTAAGCTAAACTGAAAATTACAACAGAAAAAGGAAGACGTATATTAACAATTCGCTGTGACAGTAAAAATCGGCATGCGAGCTAAACTCAAGCAGGATAACCGTAGAGGACCGACTGCAGATCCGAGCAAGAAACAAATGTGTCAGTTTAAATTGCCTAATTACAAGTTAATAAGAATGATGGATACTGAGGTTTTTCACTCTACCTTCAGCACGGTCGGGCTGAAAGAAAGACTACACTTGCAAGGTTCGGCCCTGCTTTTTATTCTGCGGGGGAGATTATGCGCATAAGAATAACGATCAGGAATATAAACATGTATCCAATAACGAACCCTTAATTTCTCGACTCAATTTGTTTGGGAGATTTATCCAGGAAAACGCTGACGATTTGCCCGTTTGATCAGCAGTTAACAAATTGGAAAAATCACCCCGCTGTAAACAGACCTTACTCTCAGGTACTGTCATAATTTTCTTTCAATTGCTGCTCGTTCCAAGGGAAACCAACGGGTACATCGCTAATATAATTTGGTACCGACCAAGAATACCGATTGAAAAACATAATCTTAATGCCTAGCCGGGCAATGGGTCAGGCGCCCTCAGTCGATCAACAATTTTCGCCATCCTTCCAAATTATCTAAGTTATTCAGACGTTGACCTTGTCTGTGGTTATTCATTCCTCCAAATATTGTAAAAGTAACGTTATTGTGACGTGAACAGGTGGTCCACTGTTCTGTAAATGCAGGGATATTAAAACGTAAACAATAGAAAAACCGTAAAATAATTATGTTTCAGCGTTGCGTGGAAGATCACGAGTGAATACAGTCAAAAAACCTGAAGTACATGTCATAATTACGAGAATGAATGTTCCAAACAATTTGATACACAATTTAATTTTGGTTTGGAGCTGGTCATCTGCACTTATACAGAGAATTTAATGAAACGCAGGGAACACGCATCGCGTCACCGTAATGGTGTAGTTCTCTGGACAGCAAACACGAACCCTCAAATGAAACCCAGCCTGCGCTCAACAGCCGCACTATTTAATTTATATTTCTTTTGTGTATCGCAACTTCGTGTAAATTTCAAACAGTAATCCACAACGAGCTAATTCACGTGATGGGTGTAGTAATGGTTATAGCCTGTTCAAGGTAATAGTGACTAAGGACTTGAGACATTAAGTGTATTACGCGTTATTCAAAGTTTTGAGCCCGACTTCAAGCTTCCTATTTGTAACTTACAAGGGCACCTGTTTTTAATCATTTGACAAAGAATGTAAAAAGACTTACACACTGCGCATGTTTACCGTTATGTAGCTTGAACTTGTCAATGACATTCTTTAGGATTTCTTATAAAAGGCTATGTGCGTGATCTAAAGAGGGCGCCTTGTTGCAACGACATAGAAGGTGCCCAGGTGAAAAGTACACCCAGAAAAAAATGCATCTCTTGAAAGGGCAGACGTGGTGATTGGTTGTCGTAAAACACATAAAAATGACAATAAATTAGACTCGAAGTGATGTAACTACATTATGTCTAAAAATTCAATTCCTGGCCTAAAATCGCTCTTCATTTACTTACCCTACTCCCAAATGGGTCGTTTTTCCGCATGTTAATGTCCTCAAAATCAATTTTCCAAATGAGACTCGCCAATTCCTGTTCATAGCGCCAATTTCTAAAGTCAAGCGAATGGGTTCAGCAAAAATTAGCAATGATGACAAAATATGAATCATTTGGAGTTGTTCTCTGTGCCTCTTGACAAAACCATACAAAGGTCATTTTTTTTTAACTTAAATGTTAATGTAAAGTTTCGACTACACAAGGTTTTCTTGCCATTTTAATAAGGTTTTTCAGCCGAACGGATGAATACGTTTTATACACATTAAAATGCATGTTGAGCTCAACATTCATTCAGTTTATATCAAAGTTATTTTAGGCGTAAATGCATGCAATTACATAATTTCACTGGTATAGAAAGCGCCATTTTAATACGGGCGATTCACAATAGTGCGCCTCCAAGAGCTTGCAACGCATTCACCAATCACACCGAGCGCACGTTCACCCCAGCACTGCCTGTGTGTCAATAGTTAATACATGGGATTGTTTGGGGCGGCACATGATAGGGGTAGCCAAAATCCCATCCTGTCCCCTACGACTACGTGATCGAATTTTGATCAAGAGGGGCAGCGGTGGAGAGACGTAGCCAGTGTTCCATACTTGTAAATGCCGTAGTCTCACATTGAGACGCCGCACCGCTTGTTGCCGACATAGAGTGCATCATAAAACCGTTGAGAATATTTTTGTTGAAGTTTTCTTGAAGATATACCCCAAATATAGGGCTATATTTGCAATGGACGTTAGTAATGACACACGATAAAGCCAAGAGTAGAATTTTTAAAGTGATATTGAGCAATTTTATGCGACATCCTAGAAGCCAGCATCTGATTTTGTTATCGACACTATTAAACCCTATTGAATTGTACACTATTCGAATATTAACCAGAATTTCGGTTACGCAACAAATCGCTGTCAACCAGATTTTAATTTCGTAAATATGGCTTTAAAAACTTTTCTAAGCTAATGACCCTTAGTTCAACGCTGGCTTCATATTTGTATGTTTCACAATCTTGTGAAAACCCCAGTTGGCAAGAATATATTGATTTGTTTCACAGGAATAGAGGAAATAAACAAAGTTTTACTGCTCGAAAAAGGCTACTGCATTTTGATTACACAAGACCATCGACTGACAAAATAATTCATCAGACGGCTAGTTTCCATCACGAAAGCTCATTGGCGTTCCAGTGTACGACCGTGAACAATAAGCAAAACTAAGTTGAGGAAGGAAACATACGTGCGCGAAATCTGTCGACCCACTGCGCGTTTTGAAAGGGTAGACAGATTTCACACTGTGATTGATTAACGCGTTGCAAACCTTTGGATGCGCGCTTTTGTGAATCGCTTGTATTAGAAGTGCACATTAGTGCTCTTACATTCAGCGTAGCTTTCTGTCGCAATATTTTTTAAATGCACGGACAACCTTTTAAAACAGGTCCTGTTATTCATTCTATATTACGTGTAGTTGTAATGTTTTGCTCATTTTTATTGTATTTTTACTAGTATTTTTAATGCGAAGCGTCACTGACAATTTAGTTTTAAGTGACGCTGTAATCGTTTAATTGTGCTTCCAGTTTGAAAGTATTTACGTCAAAATGTCTTCAGGATTGTTATAGCTCCTGGGACTAGATGGCTGTACCAGGTTAATTCCATTGCAAGATTCAGGGACAAAAAAAAACTAACGTGGCTGCTTATTTGTGGTATGTGAATTTTAAGTAAACACCATAAACATTTGGTCGAAGTTCTAGAGGGCGATTCCCATAGGTAACCAGCTAACTTACGAGTGATTGTTGTGATAGATCACCACCGAAAGGAATAGACATGCAGACGTATTGGATGGTAAGTGAAATGTCGCGCTACGGAGTCATAAAACTTCAATCTTTTTGTGTGTGAAACCGGTAAATCATTCTTAAACTGTTTTCTGTTCGCCGTTGCTCTTTGACAAGCCCATGGCAATCACAATAATGTTGCAGTGCTTGGGAAAAGTGAACAAGAGGCTTTAAGTTCATATTGTGTGTCGCTTACCGGTACGAAACCGCTACAATAACCATGATGATTAATCCAATACCAGATAAAGCTCCGGCTACGATCTTGCCAGTGTGGTTGACCTCTGGGGGTGGACACTTCTTGCCGAAAAATCCGCATTTGGGCTCGGCAAGGGGTGGTTTACCTCCAACCCAGTCTATTTTAGCCTTTGCGTGAGATGCATAAACCTGTAGGATGAGCCAGAGAATGTTTGGTAATAGATATTATTCTCCCCACCTCGCCGCCGAGGGGAGTTTGCGCCTTCTCTCTCTCATGTGGTCTCAGTGCATTCATTAACAGATTTTACTAAAATATCCTGTCATCCACTCTCCGTTGTGATCGTTAGAATATCTCAGACTTTTGCCAGGGAAAAGGCCATGTTTCCTGCGGAGGTCATTGAAAAAGGACTAATACTCTTTTGTTTGACACATGGCTTGATGTGTGGCAGGCACACTATAATAACCATGAATCCTTGAAATGTCTGACAAAGGGACACATTTAATGGTTTTAAATTTGTCAAAATAAATTTTCCAGCAACTGTTTTGGTAGACAGCGCAAGGCAAACTTTGTGAAAAATCACGCTTTGCCTTATAAATTGTTTCAGGTACATCTGCGGGCACAGGAACTTCAGGTGTAGGCGTTTGCAACATTATAAAATGTTTAAAGGCCGCACGCGCCATGATTCAATTTTTACTAGCCGTATTAGTAAATTTCTCTTATTTCTACGGAGTCAATCTCCCTCAGGTGATAGGCGTTTGTGGAGTTGTTCCCTTTACCTGCATGTCGTTATAATCTTGGAAGATGGCCACGGGAGCAATGATGTGTCCGTACGTGCTGTTTTCATCTTTCTGAATCGTGAAGACGCTCACGTTTGCATTGGCGTCGCCGTTGGCGTCAATGGTTCTCCCAAGACCAGTTATACCTATTTCATGGACATGGACAGATAACGAAAGATCTTAGTTTAACTTTCGTATGCTAATTTGTGGAATTGGACAGAACATTAGATAGGCATTTATTATTTTCATAAGATTTTATTTATTGTTGACTATTTAACAAATTTAGTATACAAAATATATCTAACTGCACAAGAGAAAGTCAACAAAATAAATGTATGAAGTTAGTTATGTTTGTCCCCCAGCAGCTCTTCTTTTCTCCACTTTGTGACTTTGAATATAATTTTGATACTGTTGTCGTAAATGTATTAAGTGTGAGTGTCTTCCACACTCACAGAAACATTTCAGTAATTCATCAAACTAGTAAAACGCTGCTACGAGATACTTGATTGGAATGCATTCATACTTTGGTACGTTCTGCTGACCACGTGGCTGATCAGCGAAGAGCCATTCCTGATGCCATCTCCAGCGGTCAAAGTGCTATTCAGTGCATGAGCATACAACATAACTGCGTCATACAGGTTGGCAGCATTTTCAGCAATCTTTGCGAATAAAAAAAAAGAAGATAAATGAAAAATTAATGAAAAAAATTTATGTCTGGATTTTTCTTTATAGTTAAAAACAAAACAACCTCCTTCACCCCCATACCTTCAAGTAAAAGCGACCTCTCAACATTCCTGGTGTAATATGAAGTTATTTTGAACGAATTTTCAAGCTTTCACACATTAGTAAAGTATCAAGTTGAAAAAAAGGGAAAAGGGTAATGCTTCAAATAACTGTAGAACTTGAATTATTGTGCTCATTGGAAATATTATTTTTGTTCACCAGATAGGTTTTCGAAAGGGTGTATGAAGTTTGGTTCGATAATAGTTAGAAGATGTACAGACCTTTGACTACGAGCTACAAACATTTCTGGATTTCTTTTTATCGTAAAATATTTTTAAAATATTGTCTTCCTTTACGTAATTATTGACACAGTAATAAACTCGACTGAAATGTCGGTTGAATTCTCTGCAGAGACACTGCATGGTGAAATAATTTGAACCACAGCTCAAACAAAATGGTTTGGACCTGACTTACTTGAGAATACTTTGGGGGGAGGGAAGTACTTTCGGAGGAGAGTAAATCCCGTCCAAAAGATTTTCGATCGCTCAAAAAGATAAGACAGTCGTAAATTCTTGGATTTACTCAACCCATCTGAAAGGCACCTTCTTTGTTGGGCGGATCAGATTAAGCCTTTGACACATTACATGACTAAATGAATGAAAAAGTCTAAAATGAACAAAAAAGGTCTTAGTTAAATTGGAGGAAAGGAAAACAAAAATCACTGAACGAACACAGTCCAATTAAGAGACGAACCATACGCGCGCTGACCATCACTCATAAACTACAATGTATCGAGGCAGGTGCATCACCAGAAATGTCAAGGGTACATGGTTCTTGGCATTTGAAGATCGGTCCCGTAAGCCCGACTCTACATCGTAGAGTCGGGCGTACACAATCATAAGGGTGTAGTATATTTGTGTTAACGAATGGAGCAATGACGAAGACAAAAATTCTGAAATTGTCCTGAAGCTTAGGGTGCTAGAAATGTTGGGTAGACAGTCTGTTGTAGAAATTTGTGCGTATATCTCCATTCTGATAACAAGCTGGTTAAAGTTTAAAACAGGAAATAGCGGCTAGTGCCGATAGGGACTTAGTTAAACGACCTATTTGACGAACAAAACAGTGATTGGTAATTGATTAGTATTTTAGTTCTAAGAAACCACTGAGCATACCTTATCCCCCAGCACCGCTGTAAACGTTAAATCTAAAGTTAAGTCTAAAGCTCTTGTCAGGATTCTCTCTTCAACGAGTACTTTACCGGTACTTCCTCGCATTGTCATGTTTACAGGTAGACACGATTGGCATACGAGGATGCCCGAGTTGGAGCCTTCCAAAACCTTGACACTGCTGCATCATTTCCAACCACACAGACAAAGACAAAGGAAAGAAGCAAAACTTTGTCGCTGGCTTCTGCTTCAGGGAGTATGGATAGAAAGGGCTTTATGTTAATTAATCAGGGACTTAATTTCTGAAATGAAAACCGCAGCTACGGCTGCAAGAATAGCCTGAAACATTGTAATCTGTTTACACTACACTTAAGATTATTCGCCTGTGATCACAAGCAAGAAAGTAACCAGTGTATGGGATGAAATAATTTTTTTTTTACAAACGCAAAGGCTTATTAATGATGGTTTACTTTATTTGATATCGCACATTAGTTACAGTTTCAAATCTAAAGAATACTTTCAACACGTAGTGCTTGAAAACTGAATACTATTTCAATTATATAATACTTCCAGCCTTAACACAATATTAGCTCTCCAGTATGTGTAAAGTTATGTGGACAAACAAGGGTGAACGTGTTTTAATCAACACAACTTTGTGGAGCTCAACAGCGGCGCCCTTGCTGAGCTCCTTATTGCCATAGAGCAAATCTCATGGAAGCGATTTGTTTCAGCCATAAATGCCTATTGTGCACACGACGAAAGGCGTTTTGCCCCGGGTTTACTGCAGCATGTAAAGCCAGTGCATAACACATTCCAACGTCTGTGCGTGCTGAATGTAGACAACTTGTTACACACCACCTCATTTCGAGTATATCCTGTGCATAGGCCAAGAACGAACATGCTCGCAGTCTATTTGCTAACAAGTTTTATATTTCATATATTCTCATTTATAACTTGGCTACATTTTGCCCCTTTCTATCATACTTTCATAGTCCTCAGTCGTCGAAGTTGGAAAAGCACGATATTAGACTGCCACTTCATCTAACACTACCTCTACTGCTGACTGGATAGCTTGGTTTTTCGGAAATTTCGACTGGCTTATCTTCTCTACAGTAAAGTCTACTTGGGTAGATGCCTCAACTGAAGAAGCGTATCCTCAGAAAAGACCTTTACTGGTATATGTTGCTCAGAAATGGACATTTCTTCTCGTCACAGGTATTTCAGTAGCCCATATTAAACTGCACGTATTTTAGTCCTCGTTTCCTCATAAGAAGAACATACACTCCAGACGTCATTTTCGTGGTTGCGTATAACGTGTGCACATAGAGCAGTTTTTTGAATGAAATTTCTTCAAGCAAGGCTGGACATTTTTGCACATCCCGCCCATACGTTCACTTTCCCCCATCAACACGAATTTCGTACGTTTTATATGAAACCACCCTGAATTAGAAACAATTTTCTGACGTCATGATGACGTCATCAGGTATAAGCTTACATGGTGAGCTAAAAAGTACTCTCCTGGAGTTTAGTTTTTATAGAGCCATTTAGTTGCGAGTTTCAACCGTTTTGACCAAAGCACCGGAAATTTAGTGTGGCGAATTTCACATATTAATACAAGTTCATATTCAAACAAACTATCTTCGAAACTGCAGTAAGAACAGTGCAACGAACAGCTATATGACCTACTAAGGTGCCTTACACGAAATTCCATGTTAAACAAAAAACTCATTGAAGAGAAGTTTCCGTCATGATAGAAAGTGAAGGTCACGTGACCTCTACTTCTGGATTCATCGAAATTCCAATGATAGGTCTAGCTCGAAACTGGTATTTTTTTTAATCAATGAAAATTATTCCATATTCTGCAAATTTGGTCTCAAAATCAAAAACGATTTTGAAGCCTTCGCCTGCAAGCTAAATCTGTTCAAAGTCTACATTGAGCATGGGCACTCAAAAATGAAGTACTTACTAAAGTTTCATTATCACAAAACGGATGTTTAGCATAAAACAAGTGTAAACAAGATCTCCTTATGCCAGTGCTGTTACGTCGTTAAATAGAAGCACCATTAGCTTCGTCGGTCATAGTATGTATATCAAACTCAGAGAATAACCAAAAGTGGCTGCCGAACAAACGTACCCAATTTTAGACAAAAGCAAAACCAAAAGTTCTTTCAACTTAAAAAAACAAAAGACGACTAAACTTACTAGAAAAATGTGTAAGCCCTTTCGATGACCCATTTCTTCGTGTGTACATTTGCGTTTATTAATAGAGGGTTCATTTTGAAGGTTAATCAGTACAGTTCCGAATACCAAGGGGGAAGAATTAAACCTTTCTTATGTGGATGTCGGAATGAACTTTTAAGACATTTAAAGGAACCAGGAAATGAATTTTTCTTAGAATCACTTTTTGTATATCTCTGTACTCTTCTTCCGTGCATGAAGACTGTTTGACATCTTTTTTGAATTACGTGAACTTAACGGTGCACTTTTTCCAACATTAAAAATTGGCCAAGCATTTCTGGACAATTGAGGGCGCTTTTGCTTTGATGTAAATCCAGAGAGACATGGTTCAGGCTCCATGTTTTCATGTTCAAATTGTGAACCCAAAATTGGCAATCTGGGAACGTTTCTGTGAAAAGGATTTTTGCCATATACGTACACAGCACTATATTGCCAAAGAAAATAAAATCTGCCATAGCAGTGGTTAAAAAACCTAGAAATCTAGAAATTTTCTGTGCACAAATCAGTGCAACATGGAGATTCAGTGCCTTGGATGAAATCATAGTTCTGCTCATAAATATGCAAGTATACATTAGCATAAAAACAAAAAAGCATCAAAATATTGATTGAAATTGCAAAACAGAAATTGAAAATCAAGGTCATTGAAACCTAAAAATGCAATTTCAAGGGTATTAGTAAAAGTTATAAAACTATTTCTATTTCCTGGTTCCTTTAATACATGTATATCTTTTTTGGAAAACTTTTTACACGGCTGACGTAGATGAGACGAAATCGAGTACTCGCCGAAGACGTGTGACCAAATAAGAGATTGGGAAGTAAATAAAACTGAAGATACAAATCTGTGAAATTTAATGAAAAAGTCTTGAAAGATCCAGGATAACCTATGCATTAAGATGTAAGGTGCAACAGGTTTCAGTATTGAACCACGTTGTTCACTGAAGATGCTGGATGTTTGTATGTTATAGGGCAGTAGGCAATAAAATGCTCAAACTAATCCAACTTGGGCTATCAGTTCAGAACGTATGCGTAAGAAAGTGCAAAAACTGCCGAATTTACCATCAACCCTGCCAGTCGTGTGCCAGTCTCCTACGTAGATTTTTTTATGCGCGTGTTTTTAATCCTAATATTTATGTATATCTTCCGAATGCCAAAAAAGTAGGGAGAGCATGTTAGCTCAGTGGTAGGCACTGCAGCGCTCAGCCGTAAGGTCGTGGGTTCGAACCCCACATCCGAGTCTTTTACTTCTTTTTTACGTATAGTAACAAATGTAAAAAAGACAGAGTAAAATTCTATTTTATTTCGGGTAGTTTGCTAGGGGTGTTGAGGAAAAAAAAAAGGAAAAAAAAGGGAAAAATTCCAGACCGGGAATCGAACCTGAGACCCGTTGGTTCAAAAGCGACAATTTTTCTTGGTTCCCACCCTGGTCCCCCAAGGGAGAAATA